ATATATACACGTCCTGAATGTTCCGAGCCTCTCTTTGGTGCTAATTGATATATCTCCTCAATTGCAGCCATTTTGGCAAACAATTTTGCACCGCTGCTACTATTATAATGCCGTCCCGTTACATTGAAACATGGGAAGCAGCGGATGGAACCAAATTTGAGTTACTTGGCTTGAGAATGACAAGCCCGCATTTCCAAGCGCCACTGTCAATTTCAATTGCCTTGGATAAGGCGTGTATGGGTGAGCGGATTCTGGCGAGCCACTTCCTCGTGGAGCCACATCAGGCCTAATATACATGTCATGATTTGTTCTTATATTTCTCACCACCTTTTCTTTGCTTATTATATGTCCTCAGGTTTAAATGTCAAACTTGTGCTGCAGGCAATGGTGGAACGCAATGCGAGTCAGAGAGAAGTTGAAGAAGTTGCGTGCTCAATGGTTCCGAAAAATAATTGATTACAAGGCTAAGCGCCCTGCAAAGAAGCTCCATAGAGAGCCCAAGAAAGTGGCGAAATAGCATGCATGCGTTGACTTTTCCGCGCTGAGCCAATGCTAATGCATATGGTGCACAGCGGACAATAAGAGCTTGAGCCCATGCCGAGCAAGGAAAAAGGCTCGCTTTGTGCGATCTCTCAGCATGTCAGATTATATGTATTTCCCTTCTTGCGTTGCTTTTCTTTTTTTGGGGGCTAAACCATGCGTTTTTTTTTGACGATAGCTCGCGAAAATTTATTTTTTTCCTAGCCTGGGAAGATGAAAAAAACTAATTTAGCCAACTTAGGTAACTTCACTAAATTAACTTACTAAGTATGCTAAGTTAACTTAGTAAGTAGGCTAAATCAACTTAGTAAGTTCACCATAAGTGCATTTGCTAAGTCTGCTAAGTCCACATTGCTAAGTCAGCCAAGTAAGTTATAAGTTGGCCAATAAGTCAGCCAAGTAACATATAAGTGAGCTATCTACTTACAAGCACACCCGCCCATCCAAGTACACCCAGCAGATCGTCGACATCATCTTGAAAACAATATGTCGATATGTGTCTATTCGGTTCAAGAAGTCGTTGTCAGATCAGGATGACACATGTAGCAGTATGCATGACAGGCGTTCAATCAAGAAGACAGCGGTTTCAGTTACATATGACAACAGAGATGTTGCAGCAGATCTCATGTGGTTGATGATGTTCGGTAGGGAAAGATGTCGAAACATTGCAGACCTTGATTTCTCAGGATATCAATCTACGGGAAGTCAACGTGCCACGACTTTTGCGACTTCTCATTCGTCGTGCACCACTGAACGGGTGATCGGAAACCGGAACGGGCATCCCCGCCCGGGAGTACGTGACCCCGAGGTAATCGGAACGCCGGAGGTTAGTCAACCACGGCTAGTACGTGACCCTTTCGGTAAGGTCGCCATGTCGAACTACACGCAGATCATCGGTTCTGCACAGCATGATCTCAACGACATCAACTCCATCCTCATCACGTTACGAGACAACGGGAAACATGGAGCAATTCCTGCCATGTACAAGGAGTATGATCCGACCTACAGCAGTCAGCCGGACAGCACGGTCGACAGGTGGCATGCGATTGGGATTAGTCCAATCGCGGCGGCATCAGCCTGCTTCTTAGGCAAGGTTCCTTCGAACCGGTCCGAGGTGGATGCTATCTCACTGTATCTTCAGGTCTTAGAGCTGATCAAGAATCAGGAGGAGCTGAACTCTGGGGCCAAAAGCTTCTTGGACAAGTGCACCACCTACATGAAGACCTTTGTCCAGCTAGCGTCTCGGAACAATCATAAAGTTCTTGGATTTTGCACATCTGAGTGCATCAATGGATTGGGAAACATGTGGGAATGGCTCAAGAATTTCCATGTACCTCATCCAATCCGAATTGATGGAGCGTTCACGGTATCAATGCTACGTGATCACCTTCGAGAATTCAAACTTCGACCTTATGGAGGTGACTTACGAGGTGTGAACCAATCTGTCCCAGCAGAGAACACGTGGTTGAGTGCAACGAGGAAGAAGGACGGGGTCCTTAACTCGTCAGATCCTGATGCGCCCATCACCATCTCGTTCAGGGCAATCCACCGGGAACTCCACTACTTCGACATGAGCATAACTTGGCAGTCGAAGTCAACCCAAGACATGTTCAACGCGATGCTCGACGAATGGCAACGTCAAGCCGTTCATCTTGTGCATGCATGATGCTACAACCAGAAGGTGGACGATGAGGGACAACCATTAACGACCTCATCGAGCAGAACACCAAGCTGGGCCGCGAAAGGGCCGCTGCAGTGAACCACTTCACTTGCATCCTGGCACTTGCTCCAGCAATCTTCAGATGGAAGTCAAAGCTGCAGAGGTTTTGGAACTTCTCCGAGATGGCAAGGGCGAACATGAAGAAGATCAACGATTACGTTGGACGGGTTCAACAATCCCTGATGCTTACGTCAGAGATCCTGGAGAACAATGGTTACAACGTCATCAACGTCGAAGAGGGCAACCACGGAGAGATCAAGAAGAGAAACAAATGCTTTTCTGCCTTGAGGGATTTCATGACAACCCTCTCAGAAACCCAAGCAGGTGGCGGACAGTCAGGACTACAGGTTGCTGCAAGTGGATGGAAGAAAGTGTTGAGGTTTGGTGACGGAGTTTGGCCACCAGAGCCCCCCAGGACACAGATTCCGGGGCGGGTCACGATCCCAGACCCAACGGTGCCTGCGCCGAGGGTCAACAGATTTGTTCCAAGGCCACCTCCTGGGCCACCACCTGGATACAAAGCACCACCGCAACCATATCCATCGTCACATCCACCACCGCCGAAGGCAAGACCAACTTCTCCGACGACACCATCGCGACCGAGTGCAACAGGCTCACAGTCGTCGAGCTCAGCTGGGCCACCACCACCACCACCACCACAGGCTGCACCCAAGCCTGCGGCGAAGCCTATGCCGAGACGTGAGACACCCGAGACTGAGTACGTCCCACCATTGACACCATCAAACGTGATCACGTATTGCAAGGTGTGGACAGACTACACGGGCACTCAGGTGAGATCAATCCTGAATGTTCATATAGGCGCAGAGACTGAGTTCGCCTTGTCGCATGTCCAAGGACCAATGGCGAACAAGGCGCAATCCACATGGCGTCAGTACCTCAGGAGGGTAGCCACGTACACCTGCCTATGCTTTGGACTTGCCAACGCCAGAGAAATTGGCGAATGCTCCTATCCATACAGCGACATGGAGTGGCTGAGGATCTACAACGCTGCACTGAAGCGTGGGGGCATGGTTCATCAAAATTACTACCTGTCGGTTGGATCTATGACAGTCATGGTTGAGATGAACGACGATGCGCAAGCCACTGACCGCTCCTACGACAAGTGGAAGCGAGGCCTGACGTCGGGCATCGGTGGAACCATTGTGGAGAAGCCATCGGTGAGAAAAGCGAAGGATGAACTGGCAGGAAAGTTCAGGTTCGGCAAGACCATCCTGGTCACGGATCTCGTCTACAAGTGTTATTCGAACTCAAAAGGAACGACGAACATTCAATATGGACTTGATGAACTGGGATATGCGGTCACGGTCATTGACATCAACAGCTTCAAAAGCGTGACCAGAGCCCAAAAGTTCCTTGATGCGGTCGATCACTTGAAGAAGGACGTGATGCCAGACCTCGCAACCGAGGAGAATGTGACCATCCATTTTTGGGTATCGTTTGCGTTCCTCATCACGGACACCCATCCTTACCATGTGTGGGTCGAAGGGAACTTTGCAGAGAGGTTTGCTGAAGCAATCCGAAGCGTCGACAAGTTGGCGACGAGACCCATCTTTGTGTCGCTGTGCAAGGACCCCAGATTTCATGGTATCCGATCAGGCATTCAGGACGTTGCCATGGTCCTGAGGAGCTTTGGTATCATGGTCACAACCGATGATGGGATGTGGCGATTGATGTATGGTCATGCCGGGAACCACTACATGAACAACCAGAACAGGCCAGACCGATTGGGAGTTTTCGCCACCATGGAAAAGTTCTTATTTCGACAAAGGGTACTGTTGATGTGCTCCCTGAATGTTGAAGCCGCAAAAGGATTGAACGACATGGTGAAGGAGTCTTCCATGAAGGTCGGCATCAACCTGGAGCTGATGGAAGGAGTGCTCAAGGAACCGGTTTCCATCCAGATTGGAACAGGAGGTGGAGTGCCAGACACTGCGAGCACCGGATCCAATTGCCCAGGAACAGTTGGAGGTGGAAGACGATTGAATGTCGAATATGAGAAAGCACCATGGATTGAAGCCACAGTGAGGTCGGTTCTTCCTGAACCATCGGCCAACATGTACGACATGCGGTTCTATGTCAACCATGGGCGCGATGAGGTGATCCTGTGTCAAGGACATTACAATGGACATGATGACGAAACCACACCACACGACTTCATGAACCAAGACTTCGGATGTGGAAAAGAGTGCATCGCTTGCCGTGCAAGCGAAACAACGAGGGACTATCAACTTTGGCCGCCAGAGTACCACCCTGAGCATCCGATATTGATTTCAATCAATATCAGTTTTGTGATATTGATTTCAAAGGGAAATCAATATAAAAATCAATATTTCTCAACCTCAAAAATCAATATTTTTTCCTAGGTTTTTGAAGACAAAAATCAATATCCAAAATGGGCATTTTTTGACTTTTTTTTGGCCCCAAACTTCTACTTTTAGGGTACTTTTCCCAGGCCATCCACTTTCAGCTGCCAGGCACTTTTTAAAGCATGAGTGGGTGAATCCTGCTCGAAGTTCAAGCCTTTTTTGCAAAGGCACATTTTTCTCTTTTGTGCTGCCTTTTTTCCAAAGGTCTCCATATGTGAGCTACCTTTTTTCCAAAGGCTTCCTTGTGAGCTACTTTTTTCCAAAGATTTCCTTAGGCCACAGGTCAACCTTTTTTTCCAAAGGTTTCCATGGAACCTTTTTTTCAAAGGTGTTTGCGACCTTTTTTCCGAAGGCTAACCTTCCATGCTGAAGCCTTCTCTTGTAAGCAACAAATGGAGTAGAATTGCATACTTGGGGAGAACTTTGGTGCTGAGCCTGGTGCTTGCCACTCCAGAGGTGCAAGAGTGTGCAAGCCTGGCTATAGCCCCCACAAAGTCTTCTGACTTAAAGCACCAATGGAATCTAGGATTCATTTCTGCAGCTCCAAGGCAAAGATGGATGAAGGTGTGGTGCTTGAAGACCATGTGGAAAAGCTTTCTGCCAGATGTTTCTGCCCAATGGTTCAAGTAGGTGTATTCCTGCAGGAAGGAGTTGCACAAACTCATTGTGAGTTCTTCTTCTGCTTCAGTGAGGAAGATGTCTGCTGAATCCCACAAGAAGACCAGCTGCACCATGATCTCGACACATTGTATCATATGGGCATGGTGATCCCTTTCTGGACCAAGCATTTTTTTCATCACCTCCAGCAGGGCTGGTGCCAACCATTTGCATTCGCCCCCTTTTGCATCTAGGAATGCATGGGACTGGTGTGGGGGCTTTTCATGGGTAAACATGCTGAGCTTGAGGTTGGTGAGCACTGTTCCAGCCCCTTGCACTTTGTAGAATTTCTGCACTTCAGTAAAGATGACAGCAAGGCGCTCCTGTGGTTTGACCACTTGGTGTCCAGTGATTGGGTCAAACCAGCACATGTAGTGCAGGCAGCTTCCCAACAGATGGGCATACAATCCCTTTGTGAAAAGGATATGTAAGCCATCCCCCCTCACCATCCTGCTGGTGACCCCATCAATGCTGAAGATTGGATGGGTGGAGTTGGGGTTGGCCTTGGCCACCTTTGTGTTCACATAGGTGAACACATCTGGATCCAACCAAGAATATGGAAGGTCTCCACTCTTGCTGGTGCAGTTGCATTGGTGGCATGGATTCTTTGATGCCCAGTGAGGCAAGCCCAGCTGCAAGGAGAAGAATTCCTGATCACCAATGATGGTCCAGATGGCTGCTGTGAAAGAAGATGCCAAAGCCTTTCCTTTGTGTGGATAGAAAGGCGACCCTTTTTCCAAGGGTTTTCCATCTGGATCCCTGGAGGGGTGGAAGCCTTTTTGCAAGGCATGGAAACTCCAGCTGAACCATTTCCACAAAGCTGGCCAGGTGTCCTTTGTGGTGGCCACCTTTGGGAAGACACCCATCAAAAGGTGAGAGTCAAGACTCCCAAAGAGATTGAGGACACACCCAAAGGAATATATCATGAGAGAATCCCTTGTCATAAATTCAGCACCACCCCCATGGACAAAGATGGGTATTGTCTGGGTTCTCCAATTCTCCCTTTTTTTCAAAGGGTGCCCCTTCAATCTATCATCCTTCTTGCTTTCAACCCCCTTCCAAAACTCTTCTAGCTTTGGTGGGCAAAACAGCTCTGCCATTTGGTTGGATAGTGCTCATAGAGAGCTGAGAACATTGTGTGGGGGAGAAAGATGGATGCTGTGGAGGTTGAAGCTTGGCTGGTTTTGGGGTCCAAGCAGGGCACCTCCACATCAAACCCAGCTGGGATGGAAACATTAGGCAAAAAGGTTTGCATGATTGCCTTGTGAATGTTCCCTGGGTTTTCACCATAATTGCCACTTTTTGCAAGGGCTGCCACTTCTGCATGGCTGGTTCCACCAAGCTGTGCCAAATGTGCCAATTCTTGTATGGCTTTGGCACTCAAAGTACCATGGGCCCAGTGGCTCAGCAGCTTGGTGGCAAAGGGGCTTGGATGTTCTGCCTCTGCATCTGGCCTTTCTGCAAGGCCTAGCTCCACATCCTTTTTCCATCCCCTTAATCTTTTTGTCATTGTTCAAGGGTTTCTTTTTTCCAAAGAATTTCTTGCCACCTTTTTTCCAAAGGTTCTCCTGGAATCTTTGCTCCAAAGCCAAAGCCTTTTTGCCAAAGCCTTTTTCCCAAAGGCTCCTTTCAAAGACTTGCTTTTGCCCCCTTGTCTGCAACCCTTTTTCCAAGGGCTCTCTTTCCCAGAAACTAAATGGTATCTGCCAGCTACTCTCTTGAGCAACAGCTGGCTGCCAACAAGCATCCTTGACTGAGACCTTATGCAACAGGGGGGCAGGTGCTAAGTGCTAACAGTATTACAAACAAGCATGCAAAAAAAAACAGGTACACACATTTAGAACAAACCTACAAGAAAAGACTCAAATGGTATCATGCCCCCTTGCCAACCCCCCTGGTGAAGCTCCTTTTTGCTTGGTGAATGGACAAAAGTCTGGTGTTCAGCCATGAAAAAATGAAAGGGAACCACCTTTCTTGCAAAGGTTCCCTCTTGTGAGGGGGCTCCCATCAAAACTGTCTTTTTCAAAGACATGCTACCCAGTGGCCCTTTTTCCCAAAGGATGTTTGGAATTTCACCCATCAAAATTGTTTCCCACCTCACCTTGTGCTCAAGTGCTGTACATGTTTGGTTTACCTTGTTTCCAAAGGCTTCTCTTGGGGTACATTTTTTCCAAAGGCCTCTTGTGGGTCTACCTTTTTTCCAAAGGCCTCTTGTGGGACCACCTTTTTTCCAAAGGTCTCTTGTGGAGCACTTTTTTCCCAACTTCCTTTTTCTGCAGCAACATTTTTTCCAAAGGTTTACTTTTTGGACTTGGCACTGGCTGCCTTGGAAGCAATGCTGCCAGCCTTGTTGGCCAATTGCTTCAACTCTTTCATTGTGTCCTTTACCTCCTTGACTTTGTTGGCAGTTTCTTGAAGCATAGACTTTAACTTTTTCAGGGGTACATTTTCTTTGCTGACAGCTTCCTTCAGTTTGTTGCCCATGGCAGCCAAGAGCTGCTGGTCCTTCAAGCCATTTTGCTTTGATGCCTTGCTCAAGTAGGGGTTTGCTTTTGCCAAGCAATCCTCAAAGTCTGCACAGACTGCTGTTGCCATGTCCCTGGCCTTCTTTGCTTTCTTGTAAGCATCCTTCAGCTGCTCTTCTTCTGTTTTGTCTTCATCCTCTTCTTCATCTTCTGTATGCTTTTCTTCCCTATCCTGCAAGGCCAGCTGACTATCTCCTTTTCCTTTTCCCTTTCCTTTGCCTTTCCCTTTCCCTTTGCTTGAGCTTTTTCCAAGCCCTTTGCTGCCAGAACTCTGAGCCAAGAGCCTGCTGGCATTAGCTTTCATGTTGCCTTGCATGCATGAGTCCAGGAGCATCTCATCATCAGAGTTTGGAACATACTCTTGTGCAATTCTGGCTCGTTTTTTTGATTGTGCAGCCTGGACTGTGACCCAATCCTGCATGTCACAATACTCATAGACCCCCCAGGTAGAGGCACACTCCCTTCCTACAATCCTCCCAGATGCTAGATGCATCTGTAATTCCTCCCAAGACCATTTTGTGAGCATCACCATCTCACTGACCCACTGCTCACTCCTCTTTGCCTTGGTGGATCCTTCCATCTCCTTGGACACCTGGTAGTACTTTGGATGCTCTTTTTTCAAGAGCCACATCATTGTCATGTCGGTTTTTTCCTTTTTGCTTGCTTCATCATATGTGCTCTTTTCATCCTGGTTGCCTCTCAAGTAGGTCTGGTGTTTGGACCACAGTTTTGTTTTTTCATCCTTGGTCATGAGCTTCTGCAGGAGTGCCTTTGCTCCTTCCACTGTCTCTTCCTCACCTGCTTTTTTCAGCTTGTCTTGAAGAGACATTTGCCCTTGGCTTTTTTCAAGCCTCCTCAAATTTGCTGATGTAAGTGTTTTCATTGCCTTTTTGCCACCAGCTTTGTTCTTTTTGCAAGAACTCTTAGCTTTTGCTTTTGCTTTTGGCCCTTTTTGCAAGGGCTTTGATTTCATGGCCTTCCCCATGGCACCCTTTTGAAATCTAGAAATAACAACCTTGAGCCAAACCTGTTTCAGGTGACATTCATTTTTTTACATCTTTTCCCAACAAAATGAACTTTGGTGAACTTTGGTCAATTTTGGTCAAATCTAATCAAATTTGGTCAAATTTTGGTCAAACATATGTTTTGACTAGATTTGACCAAAGTTTGACCAAAGTTGACCAAAATTGACCAAATTTGACCAAAATTGACCAAAACTGAAAAATATGGATTTGTTCCAGACAAAATGGGACCAATAGATTTCATCATTGTTTTGAAATTATTCTTTGTGGGGAATGCCCAGAAACATTTTCTTTAACAGACATGAACCATTGCTGTATGATGTGTTATTTTGTGGAGTGGCAATCACAATGTTCTTTTCACAAAGATAAACCATTGTTTTTTA